ACACGGAAACATGTCGAAAAGGTTAACTTTAACCACGAAACCAGATCGGCCGACCTGTAACGTTACACTTTCACTCAAAGGATGGACGATCTGACAGGACTGTTACTATGAGGTGGGTCACATCTAACGTGTATAGTAAAGACAAACTCACCGTGTCTATCTAGTCATGATGAAGATGTATATACATTTCAATTTCAGCAGGCAACTATTTTTACAGCTACATTATTGTTCCAGCCACAATTAATCACAACAATGTATATACAATTACAAATGATTATATATAAATCGTTAGTTTGTTGTTTTACACACATGCACACAGACATTTCATACATGACATAGTCGTGAGATGCAAGAAACATATGGCAAGAAATCTGTAGACACGCCCATAACAACAAAAGATGATACTTTATTGAAACTTTTCTGATAAGAAGTGTGCGTTGCAAATGCGAGCATTTTTGACGATCGTCTCTGTCCAGTCTGCTCGTTTTATCGCGTTTAACCACAGCTGTCGTCGGTTTTTTGTCTGGCAGTGGCAGCAGATATGCGATCAAATTTCTAATTTGAGGCTGTATTACGTCGATTCTGGCACCCAACATCACAACAAGATGATATTTTAAGCTCCTTATGTAGCCGAATCTGCGCTGGTTTGAATGGGCCACCTCCAGTTTCCCCTTTGTTTTGCTGCCTCCAGCTAGCGCTGTGACCCTAGTTACCTGTGGTTGGCCTGGCCATGCGTCACTCAGAAAACAACAGGCCAATCAGAAGAGAGGCTCATGAATATTAATTAGACAGGCCAAAATCGACCTGTTCTCAGCAGAGCTCCTGAGAAAGGAGCTGTAAAAATATATTGAGATGGTTTTTGGTACTTATACCGCAAATATATATTCTTAAGGACATCGAAACCTAAAATAAAACTCCAGAAAGGTGTAAAATATGTGACCTTTAAAACACTCACAACTGTTACAGCACAAAACACTCACTGCAGTTACAACACAATTACAGTTACAACAGCAAAATATACTCAGCAAAATATAGTCTTTTTCACACTGTTAGTGCTCTACCAGCAAGTGTCATTTTCAGTGGTATGTGAGATGGAAATTATCTTTGCACTTCTTTATTTTTTGCACCAGCTGAAATGCTGTTTAACTTCACCACAAGACTTTGGACAAATGGTCTTTGTTGAGGAACCACATTCTTGGCCAACAAACGCTCTCCAAAACTAAGCCAAAGTGATCATATTATGTTGCACAACAGAAACCTTCTCAGCATAAAGCCGTATTCATTTCCCCCAGTGCATTACATCAAGCTCTTCCATTCCAAAGCGTTCCTCATTCAACAGCCACAACACAGCTTCTACTGTTGGCTTTCTGTAGCACCACTTCAGTTTCAAATTCTCAAAGACAGCAGCCTTTTTTAGGCAAAAGCTAAAAAGCTGGAGGAACCTGAGACATTATACGTAATCTCAACATTCCCATTGGTATTTACCAATATATTCAAATCCATAGCTGAATGATTCAATTCAATATCTGGCCAGCATCACTCTTGCTGTTTCTCATTCTAAGGTGTGGGGATTTGAACAAACCGCTAAGTCTAAGTTTTAAAGTTTGGTGTGTAACTTGTCTCACATTGTTTGTGCTACAGACATGATTGATAGATTTCCAATCAAAGAGAAGCCAATTTCTCATCTGGCAAACAGAGCTGGGCAAAATTCTGACTGAAAAGACTGAAGAATTGGCTCCCATTCTATTCATGATTTGGAGTATGAATTCAATTTGTCATGCCCCATATGAAGTTGAATTGAAATTTACATTAAAATGAAGGGAAACGGAATCTATCTATCTATCTATCTATCTATCTATCTATCTATCCGTCCGTCCATCCGTCCGTCCGTCCATCTATCTATAGTATCTACAGTATCTATCTCTCTATCTATCTATCTATCTATCTATCTATCTATCCATCCATTCGTTCATTTAACTCTGTCTGTCTATAGTATCTAACTATAGCAACCCAGGCTCATTCGAAATACGTGCCTCTAAATGCATTTCTGTAGCACCGTTATTACGTGCCTTACTGCACGTTTCACGGCAGTTTCAAAGTGAAACGTCCAGTGAGTGGCGCTAAAACGCGGGTTCAATACGTGACCCTGGCACATTTTTGTTACGTTGATATAGGCATGTATTGCTGTGTTTGTATTACGTTGCTTCAGGTACGTATTGCGGTGGTTCATCATTCAAATATTCGAGTATGGAGTATACCTATGTATCCATCCATCCATCCATAAACCTGTCTGTTTGTCTGTCTCTCCACATAGTATCTAAATACAATATCGATCCATCCATCCATCCATCTATTAATTTTCCAATCTGGCTGTCTTTCAATCAATCTTTCTCTTTTAAATTAAAAATGGCCGTTTTTAATTTAATTCCATTTAATAATTTTACAGGCAATCTCAATTCAATTCTGAAAGGTGCACAATTCTTGCTGGCAGGCAATATCCACAGGAGGAAACCCAGCCATATCTAGGGACCAAAACCACTTGAACCACTCACATTTACTTCAGAAGGTGTTAAAATGTAATTCATGTGGATATGAAACTAAGAATGTAATAAAAGAGTGTTAGCTGTATCAAAAGAGTGTGAGGTCAAACCACTATAGTAGGTACTGCTGGAGTGTTAAAATGAGAAGTTATAATTAGAGAAGCTTTCATAAGGTCGACCCTTTGGATATAGGCCCCTTTACTCAGAACATACTTCTTAGCCCATGTAATGTCACAAAGCATTTACTTTAAGCCATGGCCAGAATAGAGCAAGTGTTAAGCTCTACATGTTGCAACTGTTCGCAGAGAGCTTACGTACCTCTAACATCCATTAAGTCAATGTTACTTGACAGTTACTTCCTTTATTTGAACTATAACCGTCACTCACAACACAATATATATGGTACAATGAGATATGAAAACAACTTCCCTTCTTTAAAAGACAGAAAAAAACACATTCAATGGAAACAGAAACTCTTCTTTGCACAACTAGAGCAGCATGAGAAGCTCCATGAGTCACACGAGCAAGTTTCTGATCAGCTTTGAAGGGCTTTTACATCTGCTGAGATGACAAAAAACCTTTGCAAGCTGCTGCAATTTGAATCCTCACGTATGCAGAAATTTTAGCATAAGCAGCTGACAAGCTTTCAGCAAAGACAATCTCTATATTCTTAGCTGATGGAAGTAAACATAAATGTCTGTTAAACTGGCATGCAACAGGAGCTTCAAAAACACACCTGCGGTCACAAAGCCTGGAACAAAAGACAGGACCAAACCTGGAAACTTTGATATAACCGCTATACACTTTTGCAATCAGGTGTCAAATGAGGTGTTGCACCACAATATTCCAAAACAGGGAAAAGGCAAAAGCAGTGTTAAACACTGGAAAGAGACCATCACACAATTTAAAATCAGTCTTAAATACCGGAAAGGCGATTTCACACAGTTTCTGGATCCAGTCCTCAAGTTCAGCAGTCTCAGCAGCGAAAATAAATGTCTTTTCAGTTGTCTCCACCAAAAAAGGTCCACAATCCCATGGACAGCCTTCAACATCAGCCTCCGAAACACGAATGCAGTCATTCATTTTTATCACCTATAATAAAAAAACACAAAAATTGAGATTTAAAAAAATGTAAACCTTTAAAAAAGTGATTTTTTTTTCCCATTTGTTTTGAAATGTTTCCCAACAAGTATAACTACACATCAACATTTAAATATGCTCCAAGATGTCCAGATTTGCAAACTGTGTAGGTAGTATGATGCATGAACATTTTTTTTCTGATCATTCTCCATATGCATTAATTTCAGAAGATAGCTTTTTTTGTGGAAATCCTACTTTTGTATGGAAGAGGGGATTTTTGTTTGTCATATTTCATAGCAGAAATGGGAACAGATTTAAGTGCACTTCCTGCAAATTGCTTGTACATGTCTGCCCACACATAAACCATGTGCATGACCCCCCACCGAGTTTGATTGTTCATGTACCATGGCACATAAAGGATCTACATCACTCTCCTCAGATACGCCACATATTATTTGTTATGTTCGCAATACATGGAAAATCTGAGCTCCACGGTTTGTTGCTCACCTTTTTGTTTTCCTGTTTGCGGTTGGCTTTCTCCAGCATGTTGCCAGCTCCATCTTTAAACTCAAAAAACTCAAGGCGAGAGATGGAGCAGGAGCTCTCTCGGTACAGGACAGACCAGACCTTACGCCATTTCTGAAACAGAGAGAAGATACATTGCTGAAAGTGATGTAAACTGTAGGGCTGGGTTTTGACACAAATTTCACGATTCGATTCGATTCTGTCATAAAAACTTGATGGATTTATTCAAACAAATGAAACATTGAAGAACAGTAAAACTTATAATGAATATGTTATATGGTGCAGATATTTAGCAAAATGCCCCTCTCTACAGTTTATTTTTCTATCTGACTAACGAGTTTATGGTCACCGAATATGTTTTTCTGAGGTAAACGTGACCTTATGTGACATTGTTTACAAGCCGCTATATTGACGTCTTTGCGCGGCTGAAACACTGATTAAACGATTACATGAGACAGGATATGGTGGATTCTGTTAACTTACCTTCGGATGTTTAGTCATGTTTATTTTGTGCTGAAACTGGTATTAGTGTGGAGGAGATGATCAGTTCACGTGCGCCTCGCGCTGCCGCTATTATTGAACCGAGGCGCGCTGCACTACAGCATCACTCCACATTAAATAGCGCATTTATTGTTTGAGACTTTGGAATCTGATGCCGCGTCTCAGTGTGCCTACTTATACTACGCCCTTAAAGTATGTACTCTTTTGGTGAAGAGTAGGCAAGCTTTGGGACACGTCACACAACTGCGTCTTTAAAGGACCGCTCTGTCGCACCTGTTACACGCACCCTGTCACTGTAAACTGGCCTGTCAATCATCTTGTCACAGTTAACATCCTCCACATTTAATTTAATTTAATTTCCTACCATACTGGAGAGAAAAGAAGTAGCTCGTTGATCTGCCAGTCGCAGGTCTTTCATGCGGAGAACTCTGCTCATATTTTATGCATAATGATGCATTTAAAAGTTAACGACCAAATGGGTGTTTATAAAAGTTCACATTGCTGTTGCAGATGAAATATTACACGGATAACAATAAATAAATATTTGTTTACCAGGTTAAATGTTGATTATTAGTAACTCAAACCCCTTTTTGTAAACCTCTCTACCTAACCGTCCATCGCGCGCATCCGCCACGTTTGTAGTATTTCTAACGCGTTTTATTCGTGTTTGTAGTTCTGGACCGAATCCTTCACCAAAGCGCAATGGATTGTGGGCAATTTTAGCCATTAGAGTGTGCACGGATCCACACTTCAAAAATCGACCTGAAATAGTAGACCATCCGGGGACTTTTGGCATACTCCTTTCAACATACTACGCTTTGGGACACACTTATTCTAATCTCACATACTATTTAGGATGGATAGTATGAACATTGAGACGCAGGGTGAGACTTTGTTTCATATTAAAAGTACCAAAGCACAATGCTTATTGCGATTGGATGGGAGATGCCCTTCAATATTCCATTCATTAACTGAAAACAGGCTAGACTAATTGATTCATGGGATTTAAGAATGGATATCGTTTCGTAAGAATGAGAATCGATCATAATCGAGATATCGATATTTTTTTACCCAGCCCTAGTAAACTGTCACACTTTTTTATTTGCGTTGTCCTCTATAGGCAATATTAGGCATGCACAAAAATTAGATATAAAACTAATGGACCTTATTATATTTCAAGATGTCTAATATAAAACAACATTAAAAGAAAGCACCTAACATCTGTAAAACATATTAGAGCCATACAATATAATCTTGGGACAAAACCTGACTCATATGTGACCCTGGAGCACAAAACCAGTCTTAAGTCGCTGGGGTATATTTGTAGCAATAGCCAAAAATACATTGTATGGGTCAAAATTATCGAATTTTCTTTTATGACAAAAATCATTAGGATATTAAGTAAAGATCATGTTCCATGAAGATATTTTGTACATTTCCTACTGTAAATATATTAAAACTTAATTTTTGATTAGTAATATGCATTGCTAAGGACTTCATTTGGACAACTTTAAAGGCGATTTTCTCAATATTTAGATTTTTTTGCACCCTCAGATTCCAGATTTTCAAATAGTTGTATCTCGGCCAAATATTGTCCTATCCTAACAAACCATACATCAATGGAAAGCTTATTTATTCTGTTTTCAGATTATGTATAAATCTCAATTTCGAAAAATTTACCCTTATGACTGGTTTTGTGGTCCAGGGTCACATATATTGATGGGCAGGCTGAATCACTGGGTTGTATGATTTACATTTCAAACTTGTTTTCCACAAAAAAAACAAATTACTCATTCACAATCCTGTTTTATAATCTCATCTTGATGCACAATATTCACATTATCGTGTATATTTAAAAAAAAAAAAAAGTTTCCCTTCTGGTATGTAGAAAATTTACTTTGACATGCAAAACCAGTTTCTTAAACGTACTCACATGCATCTATAAATCACATATGATGATCCCTTCTGGTTAATTGACAAAAAGCTAGATTAAAGGGGTGAGATATCTTACCCAACGACAAACTTTACCCTACTCTTCCCCATAGTAAAACAAAGTTTTCATAATGTCAGCGATATTACCAACAATTTTGCATTTTACCAACACTTTTGCAGTTGTCTTTGACCTTAAAATGGGAAGTGGTTAATGTAAAAAAAAACAGAGTACATCTTCCCATAATGATTTTTAAACTAAAAGTCACTAAACAGTCCAATGGGAAAATGTGTACACGTCAATAAGAAACACATGTAGAATGCAAATTAAGATAATGAGAACTTATTCCATTGGCTCAAGTGCCTAAGGATGGTTGGATCATGTGAGCATCAATTTATAGCATTTAAAGTGTGAGATTCCTGTCAGGAAATACCCGTAATAAGACGAAGAGTTTAAAGAATCTCGGTGGTACGGACATTACCTACCATTTCAGAGAAATTCATGGCCTCAAACAGCACATAATCTATTACAGATGCAACACACTCCTTGTGGTTTCCTAAAGAGACAGTCCTGATCCTATTGCTAACATTAGCCCACTTTAATGGACTCCAGCAGCCCATAAGTCCTCTAAATTATGCCAACAGCCTATTCCTCTACTGCAGTCCCATATGGCGGAACCAACAATATTATCAGCGGCATCAATCAAAATGAAGTGAAAATGGTTTTAAATGAGAATATGGACAAGTTAAAGTGGATCACGTTCACAGTTGGAAGGGGAAGTCGTGGCCTAATGGTTAGAGAGTCGGACTCGTAACCCAAAGGTTGCGGGTTCGAGTCTCGAACCGGCAGGGATTGTAGGTGGGGAGAGTGAATGTACAGCGCTCTCTCCCACCTTCAATACCACGACTGAGGTGCCCTTGAGCAAGGCACTGAACCCCCAACTGCTCCCCGGGTGCCGCAGCATAAATGGCTGCCCACTGCTCCGGGTGTGTGTTCACGGTGTGTGTGTGTTCACTGCTGTGTGTGTGCACTTTGGATGGGTTAAATGCAGAGCACAAATTCCGAGTATGGGTCACCATACTTGGCCACATGTCACGTCACTTTCAGTTCAGGAAGTTCTTCATGACACTGCCAGTGAGCTTAATATGATTCATGAATTTCTCTCTAATTGTAATAGCTCATAATAGATATGGAGTATATAATTTCTGTCACACAAACATGCATAGAAACACATACTTTTACACCTTATAAAAACATGAACCTTCAATATCTGATCTCTATCAGTATTTTATATTTTAATGCGAGTAGGTTAAGTAAATTAAGTTCCCCACACTGTAAAAATGTCGTACTATTAATGGCAGAAGACTGTAAAAATGCTACGGTAAAAACCTGTTAATTATAGTTAACGATAAGCTATTGAATTATGATTTTAATGTTAACATGATGGAGTTTTATATTTGTGTGCATGACACTGTGTGTACCTTCAATATTATAATATACTTCATCTTTTGGGAAAGATCATTGTAATGAGCTATGATTCTACTGTACATGTGGCTTTTTTCATGACCACTTATGTTTTTTGGTGGTTGTCAGTGTATTATGAAGGTTCATAACTGATTTTAATACTTCAGTTGGCTGTTATTATATCAGTTAATGACATTAACTAAAATGCTAAGTTAAAATGCTGCTACATATTTTTTTATGGTGAAGTTGTCCGTTTTTTTATGGTGAATTTCAGTTTTTTTGGTTTTGTTTTTTTACGGTGCACATTAAAGAGGAACAACTGAAGTGATCAGTAACTAAAGAAAGGCCAACTGTCCAGTAGTATTTTGCAATTATTTGAGATTTTTTTTTTTAAAACATCCATCAAAAGTGTTTTTTACAATATTCATGGATTTCACTATTTTGCCGTAATTTATGAAATGGAGCAGCTACAACCTACGGTCAGGCCAAATGAGTCTTTTTAGTACAGCCTTCATTTTGTTCTATGACAGTAGTTCCAAACCATTACTGTAAAAGAACACGATTGTTCTTTGATATAAGCCCCCTGGGGAGTAAAGCACGTTCTGTCTTACCTTCCCAAACCGCTGTTGTTGTAAATACATCATCCCCTTCTTTCTAATATCCTCCTCCATTTCTCTCGGTCTTGTCTCCGACCCAGCTCCTTAAGACTGTCTCATCTAATGTATCATACGTCTTCTGCTAAACTTGCTTGTGACGCAAACAGCATCTCCAAGTTCCGCCAAATCTACTTCCTGTATAGCCCGAAAGAGTTTACACTTCTTTGCAGAGCTGTGCAAGAGCATCTGTAAGAGCCAAAGCCACAATGATTACTCAAGATCACGAGTTTCCTCATGTTATTTTGCACCCAAATGAAAGAAAACAGCATTGTACTTTAAATTTAAAAACATCACAAACTGTTTAAACCCAGGACATTAGGCAAATGATATTAATTGTACATTTTTTGCATCATTACATGAGGCCTGAGCATTTCCATATTATCGTCTCATATTATTTTGTTGAGAATTTAGGAAGTAAATTGTTAAATCTTTTTTTATATATATATGTATTAAACAAGAAGGTAATGTAAGTAACGTCACTGATTTATATTTGTCACATAAGAGCTATTTTAAGATCTGAGGTCTTATTTTTCAGGGTCTGTGGTCAACTGCAAACTTCCTGCTCTATGGTGTGTCAAGTTTCCATCACACACGCACACCCAAACCAACTTACCATCCAGACAACCATGGGTGTTTTACTGACCATTGCCTGCACCTCTCCAGCTGTTTTAGGATAGACAAAGGCTATTAATTAATCATTCATTGTCTACACAAGTTAAGCATTGTCTTGCATATTAAATAATTTAATGAACACAATACCAGTAATAGTCTTACTGTGCAACTAGATGTTTGCCATGTGTATATTTATTGTAATGTATGTGTGCCAAAGGACAATGCTCTCCTGTGATGAGTTTCTGTAAAGCTGCTTTAAAGCAATATAAGAAGAAATACATACTGTGTATATATATATATATATATACAGTATATACAATATATGTATACAATTTGTAAAGGCCTGTGATATAAAATGTATTTAAATAAATGTATTTAATCATCATGTAATAATGACCCAATGCCAGTTCTATATTAGGCCTCTGCCTTTTGGATTGCAGAATTAATGCAACACAGCTGTCAGACCTACAAACAAACAAACAAACAAACCCCTTTTTCCAAAGGAAGTCTGCATTTAGTTGACCAGAATCAAACAGAAATCTGTCCCAAATATTTTCTGAAGAAAATCAGCATCACGCCTGTGCAAAAATTTGCCTCCACGATGATACAATGTTGTGGGTGTTTTCCAGGGCGTCGTTATAGTGTTTTATGAAGTGATCCCTTACCAAAAAGTAGTATACTTCAAGTTTATTTTAGTAACACCCCAAAGCTTGGCAGTTATTATTACCTCTTCATTGGTCGACATTTTATTCCATAATGTTACATAGTTTTGATGCTGTTTTATGTCTGATGATCGCGTTAGAATACATGTGGAAGCATCTGTTGTTTCTGTTTCTTCTTCACTTGTGTTTTTTGGAAATTCTGTACAGAAGATGTGTACTAGCGCCCCCTACAGTATAACAATGAAAACACGGATTCTAGGAGCACAATTATAGCTCAAATATATTTAGACTTTTGCTAAGTATAAGTCAAGTATAGGCCTACTTAAATGTCATTTTAAGTATATTTCTGAGAAGTACATAAAGCCCATTTCTGAGAAGTACATAAAACGTAGACTAAAAGTATACTTTCCTATTTTTAGTTTAAAAGAAGTATACTAATAGCACACTTGAATAAACTTCTTTTTCGTAAGGGATTTTAAAAACATTAATATATAGTTATTAGGTTTTTATGGTGGTTGCTTACTGGTCCAATTGTAATTATCCTAAGTCTCTATAATCTCTTCGTTAATGCAAGTTTAACTCACTTATCATTCAATGGCAAAAATAAGCCATATACTGTATCACTCTAAGTAACAGCTCACCTCTGCTCACCACCCTCCATAACTTGAGGTGTCATTTTTGCCTGTTTTATAAACAGTGCGGGATGAAATCTATGTCGAGGTTTAATGCTTAAGGGTTCGTTTCTACCTCAAATCAAAAATATGAACAGCAATAAAAAAGACTGCATGCTTCTAAGTAGTATCTTCTCACTGCCCTCTAGGGCCTCAAAGCAGTACTGCACACTTCATGAAAGATCGCTCTCTGTGACACATAAATATGTTTGACAGCGTATATCATCACACATTTCTGAGAAGTGTCATTTAACTAAGAGCAATGAGATGATTCAATTGTAAAAGAGTACAATGAAAATAATAAACAACTGGCAAACATATGAAGGTAGAATGACGTCAAAAAGATTTGCATATTTTGGCACGATTCTCTCACTAACTGAGTTTTGCAAGCGTGAGGGGGAGGGCGGGGCCACCTTCTTCTTGTAGCCAATCACATGAGCCTCTCGCTGACTCTCCATTTTCTCTTATCTGATTGGTTCAATAAACACATCATACCCAAGACATTAATCTTCATTTAGTTCAGGATCACAAGGCAGAAAAATAAAGGAAGAGAGACTTTTTATGACAGTTGTTTGTTTCATTACCCCCTCTGATGTTGTTTTGCTCCACCGAACAGATCTTTCTGTTAGTACTTATATTGCAACCCTTAACCTCTAATGACTGCAGAAAATGCAGCTTTATATTTTTGCCTCATAAACTTATTTTTAGTTTTACTGTTGCTCATTTGTCTGTTATTCTTCCTCAGTCATGAACATGAACTCTTCCTGTTGTCTTCCACGCTCACTTTATTGATTACAATAAATCCACTCACAAGACTGATGATCTTTCACACAGCACATGGATCTCATTTTCCACAAAACTGGAAGGAAAACAAAAGCATGGAAATGACTTTAAGAGTCTGGAACTGCTTTTCTTTATTTAAATCAGACAGAGGCAGCTCTTTTGGGGAGCGGAGAGACCTTTTTTAAGTAGCTATCATGGTTTAGCATTAGCCGTGCAATGAATGCTGCAGGGGGATTTGAGTGCCTGTGATGACTGTGCTTGATGAAGAATGAACAATGGTCATTTTGTTATTTTTGTTCTTCGTTCTTTTGTTCTTTACCAACCAGCAATAACTAAATCTGGTAAGCTAAATTAATTCATCTGCATGTCTTTTTGGTTGTCTACTGCATTTCCTAAAGCTATTTGTTTGAATTTCAAGCCTCCATCTCTGTGCCAGTAATGTCTTTTCATGACACAGGATATTAGCGGATTCTTGGGTAGAGAAGGGAAGCCCCTCGCTGCTGGCTCTGGAAGTTCACACGATCCCCTGAATATTTCTACAGTTTTCCATAGAATTTGGGGGAAAGAAAAATAACTGGTGGCAATGAAACAGAAACCAACAACTCTCTCGAACTACTGGAAACTATAGATTTTTGTCTTGGGAACTGTCATTCCGACAAAAATCACAGAGCATCAGGACATAAAAACTTAAAGGAATAGTTTACCCAAAATGGAACATTTGTTGAAAATGTACTCGTCCTCGGGCCATCCAAGATGTAGATGAGTTTGTTTCTTAATCATAACAGATTTAGAGAACTTTAACATTACATCACTTGCTCATCGATTAATCATGTGCAGTGAATGGGTGCCGTCAGAATGAGAGTCCAAACAGCTGATAAAAACATCACAATAATCCACAAGTAATCCACACGACTCAATCGGTTAACATCTTGTGAAGTGAAAATCTGTGTGTTTGTAATAAGCAAATGCATCATTAAGGCATTTAAACTTAAATTTAAATCTTGGATGGCCTGAGAGTGAGTAAACAAGAGAGTGAGTGACAATGGGGCCCATGGAGATCCTCTATGATACAGTATATCCTACCTATAAAGTCAAAAACTTTAGCACGTCTAGTAGAGGTGTTTTGAGTTTTCAGAGTGTTTGGTTGTTTAAGGCAAGAGGAAACGGCTCTGTCCCAGGGTGCTCTCAGTCTGAAATGATTTAGACCTTACTGCAGGCTAATTGCTTTAACAGTTGACTGCTGGGTGAAAGTCATGTCATGTAACATGTTGTTACATATGGTTTGTTATGCACACTGTTTTGGTGTATAACTCTACATTAGTAATTTTTCCAGTAGAACTACTGTACAGTACAGTACATTTATATGTAGGCCTAAAATACCATCAAAACTTCTCCAGTCCTCCGATTAGAGGTTTGAAACAACCTAGTGTCAAAATTTGAATCTTTTACACATTTTAAATAATGTAGCATCAAAAAGGTAACCTAAAATTACATGCAGAGTTAAAGCCACCAGAGAACATCATGAGAGGGCAGAAGAGAGAATGGGGTTAAAAAGCTGTTATCCACGGCCGTTCTGTTAAATACAGGTCTCTGATCCACTAAAAGGTGAGATTAGAGGGTTAAGAGATGTTTACTGTATATCAATAAGTAGCCTGATGGTGTTTGTTGTATTTTCATCAAAAGAAGTCCAGCCTGTATGCACATGTACCAAAGAATAGGATCCCTGTTTTTGTGTCCTAAGACAGGAGATCATAAAGATATATTAAAGCCAGCTGTGTGCTCAACTGCCTCACCCAGATCTGACACACACACTCAAAGGAAAGGCTGGTAAAAGAGGGATGCCACATGTGGAAACATACATAAACTCAGCGGCTGATACACATTCTGCTTTGAGTAGAAACGGATGGATTGTGAAGAACTGAGTTTGCACAAATGTCAAGCACATATTAGACAGCAGCAAGTTCTCAAACAACAGTGGCCTTTCAGAGAAGATAAGACTATGCATTTTAGTGATAGGGATTTTTCAATGACTCTGTCTTACATCGTTATGCCAGCAAGTGAACGTCTTGAACTGATTCATTCAGGAATGAAACTTATGGCTGCATATGAATTTGCATACTCTTTTTGAATAAGTATTACTTTGCGACTGTTAAAAAATTCTATAGCAAGAATGTGTGTAGTATGAATGTCATCTGGATGTACCACATTCGTCATGTTGTTATTGTCATGTGACCTACCAGCATCAGTTCAAAAATCCATTCGAAAATCCTCTCCCATGGCCTCATGGGATAGAAAAGTGAAAGTGAAAGTGACGTGACGTGGCCAAGTATGGTTACCAATACTAGGAATTAGTGCTCTGCGTTTAACCCATCCTAAGTGCACACACAGCAGTGAACACACACAC